CCTGATTTTCTTACTAGAGAATACCTGAACTAATAAGTTCTACTACTTTGTCTACAGATTATGTGACCTACATACAAGCCTCCTCGGCAACGAGGAAAAGGAAGGGCAGCTACTAATAGCAGAGAGAATAATATTCTTGCCCAAATAGGAAATCAAAGGCTCATAGCCGCTAATGTTACAGAAGGTAATACCGAACATCCATTATGCAAGGAATTTATGGATTTTATAAAATCCAAAAAAGATGAAGGTACGTCATCATCTAATGTACCTACATACTCCTCAGTTATATCAGAGGATGCTAATGACAATTTTGAGACTTATAGTCAAAAAGAATCCAAAGGGTTAATAATTCTTTTGGAACAATCTGACCTTAAATAGAAGGATAATCCTTGGCAAATTATGGCAAGATACTTTGATGCAGCGTCATATGCTACTCCTGCATACAAATACAGAATGCATTATGAGATTATACTCTCAACAACAGGATCTGCAGATATTCAGCATTTCTATCCTGCTAATACTAGAAAAACTTATAGTTTTTCAAAGATTATAATTAAGAAGGTTATACTTTCTGATGAACGGGGAATCAGCACACTCAAAGATCGTGAATATACACATCCAGACCAAAAGATTTCGGTCAAATTCAATTATTGGGATTATGTCGAAAGTTTTAATAAGACTTTCTTATATGAAAATCCTACGAGAAGACATTCTTGGTTTATAAAACTTTGTCCTAATTTATTCGGACAACAAATTCCAAATTGGTTTTTCAAATGGTGGAAGTTGTACGAACCATCATTAGATATTTTAAACCCTCTCTTCAAAGGATTATATTCTCAATGGGTAGATATATCTCCCAAATTTATTTCTCTCCAAAAAGATCATATTTTTTATAATGGTATTGCTACCATGTATTTCTTTATTGAATTTTCTATTCCCTCGATTATGAAATGGGATGTACAGACAGGTTATACTAGTGAAGGTATTCCTTGCCTTAACAGACTTTTCTATCATAAGTTCTGGTCCAAATTGCTCCAGTCAAATCAACAAGGAAAGTTATATGGTGAAGAATTAATACAACAAATACAGGCCAAGATAGAGGCTTATTCACAGATCGATCATACAAAGGATGAAGAAGAAGATCTAAGTCCTTTGGAAATTATCAGCAAGAGACTCCAAATGAAGAAGGGAGCTGTTTCACAGAAAGAAATCCTTGCTTCATATTTTGAAGAAATAAAAAAGGATTTAGCAAAAAATCTTGGTACTACTATTGGAGATAATATCTCTATGGTTTCTATTGGCAGTACTTCAAATGAAAATGTGTGTTTAGACGGAGAAGCCCAAAATCAATCAAATACAGAGGAAGTTAGTGATACAGAAATTGAAGATTTTATCAACAAGTTGAAAGCAAGTGCAGAGGCATCTTCTGCCAAGAAAAACGACAAAGGAAAAGATAAAGCATAAAGAAATAGAATGCCCCACCGATTGATTATTGGGGTAAAAAGACGAAGACTTTTATAAAGTAATAGGTCCCCGAGACAACTTTAATAAAGTAAGGGGTCCCTCCATTATCGGAAGGAATCTACTTTTATAAAAGTAGTTTGTCCAATTTTAATAATGTAGTTTTTCTTTTGGCCACATTTTAATTATCTTGTCGGCTACTTTTACTTTTTCATTTTGTTTGTTTGTATACAGATCCATTATATAAGGATCACTCTTCTTTAGTTAGAGGCAAGCGTTAGACAATACTAGAACTCTCTGCCTTCTCTCTAGTTTATCTCTCTACTTGTAAAGAACCTCTTCTGTAATAATTTTTCCAAGTTTGAAATAAAATCAAAAAGGTCATTTGGCCACAACTAGAGATTTCTCTGCTGGTACTGTTCTTCTCATTCCCTCTTCCATATCTGAAATATTGTTAGCCTAAATGACAGGTTAAACAGGTAAGTGTTAGACTTGGTTCTCGATGGTTATATGCTATTCATGTTTATGGTAGTTAGGAGTCTACTGTATCAAATCCGATGGGGTTTTGGGTTAAGGACTATATAGACCAGGCAGTTACTAGTCTCGACAGTAAACCTTGGTTAGTCCCAAGCTAACCGGTGGTGCTCGTTAACCCGTTTAGGCAGGTGGCTGTTGAAGGGTTGTGAAGAGCATCGTGGTTTAAGGTTTCCCTTGATATTAGTGGCTAGGCCAGGACTGGTGTTCTTGTAATTCAATTCCTAAACCCACTACTCTCTTCCTTAATCATATACAATTATTATTTTTCTATCTTATAAGATAAATATAAGCATTACATTTGACATTAATATTTCATTACCTAATAGTATTAGACAACTCTTGTCAAGATTTTCATAATCGATCAAAAATATTCATCATTTTTGTCATGGCAACCATTTTCATTTTTTAAGCTAACTATTTTTTTTGTTTATAATTCGAATCATAAATACTTATTTAGCTACAAATTTTGTTTTGAATAATTTCATAGGCCTAAAAGGTTATTATTACTATAACGAGTATCAACTTGCAGCAAAAGCTAATAATTAACTATGAAATTTTATCAGAACAATAAATTTGTGGCTAGATTATTCTGTAATGACAAATAATTATAGCTATTAAGCCAACTATTGCAGTGTTCTTTTTAGAACTTGAAGCAAAAATATTTATCTAACTATAATAGTTTATTTTAAATATTTTATTATGGTTAAAAGGTTATTTTTGCTACAGTAACTTTTCGTTCGTAGCAAAAATTAACAATTAGCTACAATATTATGTCATAACAATAAATTCGTGGCTATATCATTTACCTATTGCCATAATTTTTATAGCCTGAAGCAGATGTATTTCTTTAACTACAATATTTTATTTAAATAATTTATTGTAGCTAAAAGGTTACTATTGCTATAATAACTTTTAATGCATGGCTAAAACGTATAAGTTAGCTCCACAATTTATTGTAGCAACAAATCTATTTAGGCAATTATTGCTACGATTGTTAGCAATTATAGCAAAAATAAGAAATTAGTTTTACCAATTTAATTTTTTGTGGCTATTGTTAGGTATTAGCTACGATTTTTAAATTCATAGCTAAGATTTCGTAGCTATAAATATATTAGGTTGTGGTGTGTTGTCATTGGACACTTCGAAAATAGTAGCCTAAGAATATTTGTGTATTAACATCATGTATATACGCTTGCAGAAATGCAGGGTAAGCTTGCGCACAATAGATCCTTGTGATCAAATTCTTCCTCGGACCCTGCACATAACGGGAGCTTAGTGCACTGGACTGCATATATATATACACACACATACACGCCTGAAAATGATGTAAACAACAGTGTGAAATTAAAGTAAAGCCTTATTAAAATCCCATAACTTCAAATCCAAACTTGTTTACTACCTAGGTAGTGACATAGGTCGACATCGTTTGCTCATGTGCCAATAGATCGTCAGCCAATCAACTAATTCTTAATTCACAAAGTAGTTAAAATCAATTACATGAATCTTTCTCTTTATTCAAACCTAATTAATTCTTATTGTTTTTTTTAAAATTAAGGAGAAATAAATAGGGTATTTGTTGGACGGGTTTGGAGCTGGGGTTAGCCAAAGAGTGGGATACATCATCTCTGGGGTTGCAACCCTGTCAGTCACCAGACACCCAGTGAACGTTAGAGCACTGATTCCTCATTAAACAATTATTAATCAAATTATGGGTAAAGATGTCGGAGATTACTTTAAAAAAAAATTAAATAAATGTGCACTAAGCTTCTAAATAAATGCTAACAAAATCAATTCCAAATGCAGATGCAGAAGTGGCAGTGGAGGACGCCTCTTTGAATTTGAGGCACATGGAAAATAACTATGGTTAATTGTAGGAGTAATAAGAATGACAATAATGTACTGGTCGAAAGCAGATACATAAGGCAATGGATTGGCTAGCCATCATTCGAATTTAATGGATGCTGGGGATTTGTGTAGAGAAAAAGACTTGTATCCACAACAAGTGTTATTAATACATTTTTCATGCCTATATCCATGGCTTTTGGCTTCAATTTATTAACGTAGTTGGAATAGTATTGGAGAAACACTTGTAAGTTTCAGTAGTGATGTTGATATATTTGCAGAGCACAGGCACTGTTGTCAGGGAGGCAAAAAACTTGAGTGTGGAGAGAATGGCAGCCACCATAATCGGCAATAGGAGAAGCTGCAATTGCAGGTGGGGAGGACGATGTTTTAAAGCGCCTTCAGTTTACAGATATAAAGCATTAACTATTTGTATTGCTACTTCTATACGAAAACATTGATTTGATGCATCTTTCTAAATGTGATTGATGGATGAATTTGAATTTTGAAGGACTATCACTGAAATACTATTCTACCCGCTAATTAGATTACAATTATTACATCCTTAAGAAAGGCACTATATAGCATTCCCTTGGATTACAACTTACATTTTGTCTAGATTTTTTGAAAGTTGTCACTCCTTAAGAAAGGCACTATATGGCCTTAATCATAAAACTAATTGTTTAAACTACTCTATCTCTCACTTAATTAACACTCAACTAATTTGAGCAGTAAGAAACTAATTGTTTAAACTAATCTCTAGTGTTTTCTCTTCCCTCCAAGTTTATGCCTTGAATATCTAGCCGTTCCAACCCAGTTTGTTTAAATTTCAGGTCTTAACAGGCACTAAAATCAAGCAAAATACATAGTTTACCCATTGACCTTATACCCAAATCTCTGTTACACATCTCTCTATCACGATCAACCTTTTACACACCCAACCTTTTAGAAGTGTGTCAATGACACACCACTTCTGTGTTTTACCACTTTTTCTAAATATGTGTGTGTCACACATGAATAATCCATCCAAGTTTTAATTAAAAAATAAAGAAAAAGAAAAGGACACCCCACCCACTCATCGGAGAATCCACTCCGGCCACCAATGTTGAGAGCAATCTTTGTATAATAATGTCACGACCCGGATTTTTCACCCTCGGGAATCGCGATGGAGCATACTCGTGAAAGCTAGGCAACCCGAGTCTTATAAATTTATTACCCTTTTTAATAAGCATGCTCAACAATTCAAAGTATTAAGTGATTAAATAATGGAATAAATTTAAATAACCGAAAATGCGGAAGACGAAAAACTTAATAGTTCAACCAAACACTGCTACATAATCTGAAGTACAATACTACCCAGAATTTGGTGTCACAAGTCACGGACTATCTAAGAATACTACAAATAAGGTCTGAATGGAAATACACAAGTTTGTCTCTGAATAAGTAAAAACAGAAAGACAAAATATAGGAGGAGACACCAAGGCCCGCGGACGTCTGCAGGACTACCTCGGCTCGCCTGAATGGACTGAAGACATCACCCTCACTACGGTCCAAATGCTCCGGTATCAGTATCTGCACATAGTGCAGAGTGTAGTATCAGCACAACCGACCCTATGTGCTAGTAAGTACCTAGCTTAACCTCGGCGAACTAGTGACGAGGCTAGGACTAGACTACCAAATAAACCTGTGCAGTTAAATCCTATACAACGGAAATGAAAGCAGATAATTACAGCTAAAGTTGGGAAGGGGAAACATGGTGCGGGTAGTAACAGATAACAACAGAATAATAGTAGAGAAATGTAAGGAACGCCATAAATCAATTACCAGCAAAAGATAAGGAAATAAGAAACAACTACACATGTAATACCGTTGCAGGCGTGCAACCCGATCCCATTTCATATAATACTATTGCAGGCGTGCAACCCGCTCCCATTTCATATAGTACCGTTGTAGGCATGCAACCCGCTCCCATTTCATATAGTATCGTTGCAGGCGTGCAACCTGCTCCCTTTTTATTTATCAACACCAATCATAAAAGAATTCCGGTAAGGGAACAATAATATAACAACATCCCGGCAAGGGAACAATAATATAACAACAACATCCCGGCAAGGGAACAATAATATAACAACAACATCCCGGCAAGGGAACAATAATATGAAAACAACATCCCGGCAAGGAAACAATAATATCATAACAACATCCCGGCAAGGGAACAATAATGATAATCCTCATATGAAGCACGAATAAACCACAACGGAGTCACAATAATTACAATATATGACTCACGGGCATGCTTGACACCGACGTATAGATACTTGTCACCATGCCTATACATCGTACTCCACAATTAACACATAGCAAATAAGAAACGACTCTTAATCCCTCAAGCTAAGGTTAGACCAAACACTTACCTCAAACTTCCACGGCCAACTCAAGCCTCAAACACCGCTTTTCCTTTAGAATTCGCCTCCAAATAACTCGTATCTAGTCCAAATTGATTTAACAACATCAATAACTGCTAAAGAATTCATACCCAATGCTTAATTATAGGTTTTCTATCATTTTTCCTAAAACGTCAAAAATCGACTCCGGCCCCGCTTGGTCAAAACTCGAGGTTGGGTTCAAAACTCGATCACCTATTCACCCACGAGCCCAAATATGCAATTAGTTTTGAAATCCGACCCCAAAATGAGGTCTAAATTCCAATTAATCAAAAAGCCCTAACTCTACCCAAATTCCTAATTTCTACTATAACAATCCTAGATTTTTGGATGAAAATTGATGAAATGCAATGGAAAATCAAAAGAAAAAGGTTTAGAATCATATACCAATGCTTTGGGGAAGAACTTGTTCTTTGAAAGTCGCATCAATGCTCTCTAGTTTTGAAAATATGAAGTTTTGAACTAAATCCCAATTTGCTATTGTTTTTAATTCACTGAACAGGCCTTCTTCGCGTTCGCGAAGGGCCTGTCACGTTCACGAAGGGTCAGGCCCATTAGCCTTCACGTTCGCATTTAGCGGCTTGGGTTCAGGGAGCTTTAACTCCTCAAGCCTTCACGTTCGCGGGCCAGTGGCTGCGTTAATGTAGAACAAAATCCCCTTCCCCCTGCCCCAGCACAAAGGCCTTTGCGTTCACGATAGCAGGTCCGTGTTCGCGATGGGTAGCACCCCCAAAGCTTCGCGTTCGCGACCTGTTTATCACGTTCGTGTAGAAGGAAATTTCCTTCAGCCCGACTTACCATTCGCGTTCGCGAGAGTCCTGATCGCGGCGAACTCAACCTTACACAACAGTAGGAGGAGCGGGCGCTAATACTTTTACCCAAATAGTGGTATCGGGGTCAATTTCCACAGGGAGCTTGGAATGGAGTTGCGTATTTGTTTAGACTAGGAATGCATGTTTGCTCCTAATTGTACTTCTACCATTTTTTGTGTTTTTGTTTAATCACTACTATTATCAACTACAAGTTTAAGCTAATTTATGCTAAAAGGGTATGTTCTAAGTTGTGATTAATATAGAGAAAGGCACTAGGGTCGTGGCATCACCTAGGTGGTTAACTAACGGGTAGAGGTTACTAATAATAGATTGACATATTTGGGATCAATGTTATAACCGTGCACATTTGTACTCACTCTCACACCTCTCGGTAGAGAGAGCGATTTTGCCCAATTGACTCTCTCGAGATCAATTGGGTAGGCCAATTAGACCAAGCAACTAGGGTTCAAGTAGGGTGATTACTCTCTCGAGGTTTAACCCGTTAATTGGGACTACCATTTCTCATGGATCCACCCCAATCCCTTGTTGGGTCAATTCTGGGGTCATAGACTCTCTTTCTCAAGAAAGGTCAAGACCCACTAAGCTAGAATCAATGTTTGCAACCATCAATCCTTAATTAAACCATAAAATTAACCCAAATAACAAACACCCAATATCAATCTATCAGTAAGAAGCAACACCCATTAATTACCCACACTAGGGTTGAGCCACAACCCTAGCTAATGGGTTTAGCTAGACATAATTAAAGAAGAAACTGAAGAAATAGAAGATGAAACAACCATATTAATTAATTGCTAATGCTAAACTACAATAATCTATGATGAAACTAAACTAAAAATGCCAAAGATAGGCCAAAACATAAGTCTCACGAGTGCAGCAGCTGTCAGTTGTACAAAACTTGACCTAAAAATGGTAAAATGTTCTATTTATAGTGGGCTGGAAAAACTGGACAAAAATACCCCTGCGGGGTTAGTGCGGACCGCAAAAAGATGGCACGCGGCCACACTAGGTTGCTTGACCTCTGAATCTTGCTCTCTGAAAATGGTGATGCGGACCGCACAAAGTTGGGGTACGGCCGCATGAAAACTGGCGCGGACCGCACAAAGTTGTTGTACGGCCGCATGAAAGGTTTTGCAGCTTCTCTGAACTTCACTGATGCGGGCCGCGTGACCATAGAGTGCGGCCGCATGGGGGGAGTGCGGGCCGCATGAAGTTGGACGCGGCTGCGTGGTTTGCTTCTGGAATATAATACTCTCTAAACTTATTGGACGCGACCGCATAGCAAAATTGTGCGGCCGCATGAATTGGGACGCAGCCGCATGGGGCATGGCTTGTAAGTTCACAGTCTCTGAACTTCTATGGTGCGGCCGCATGACATGATGGTGCGGTCCGCACCAAGTTCTGAATGTCTTCACTCTACTGATCTTTGGCACTTGAGCAGGTTTCACTCCAATTTGAGCCGATCTTTGACGATTTGTCACTTTATAGCTCAAACCTTCAATCAAGCGCAATATGTAAGCTTTTTGGGACTATTTTGTAGCAATTTACACTCAAAGCGCAGGCAAGTATGGGTATAAAACATGTTAAAATCCTACTTATCAACTCCCCCAAACTTAAACCTTTGCTTGTCCTCAAGCGAACAAAACAAAACCCACCCCTCAAAGGCAACATCCAAGCAATTTCAGCTTATCCTAAAGTAACCTCAACAAGCGTCAATTGGGACTAACAATTGCCCTCAATGCGAATGCATCATTAACACATTTAAACTTTGAAAGCTTGTGGATCAAGTGTGACACAAGAGCTTCAAGAGTTGACACATTTCATCAAAGAACTTTTCTCAATTACCTTGGCCATTGTGGAATCCAAACTCAAACACCCTCAACTCTCCCTAAGCGAACCTCACCTTTTTGAGTATTATCACACAAACCGAGGTTGATGGATTTCCACTCATCTCTCTCAAGGAAGAGGCCACAAGTCCGATTCTAAGTACCATATGCTTGCCCCTTATGTAAGTATCTACTAATGTAGGTTCCTTTCAACTCAAAATCATGTAGGGCTTTTATGGAGTCATTGTGAAGGCTTTTGGGTAAGGGTAGGACAAAGTTTTGTTCAAGTGGGTTCAATCTTCCCTTAATCATTTCTTTTGATTCATTTCGGCACACTTTCTTGACTCATTTGAGTATTCACTTCTTTTTCAA